TGGTAATCCATGGGTTGGATTTCGGATTTTCCAAATAGTTCAACTATGGTTAAGTCGGCGATTTGTCAGTGGATCGTCACCACAGTTATGAGATCAGGGAAGTAGTGGACCACTTGGGTTCGTGTATGTGAAGGGCTACTGTTAGTCTGGGAGCCATCATTTTTTTTTGTCTTAGATTCGATGATGTCAGGATTCGACGTATGGAACTGATCGGTTGGACCGGGAGGTTGTTAGAGCCACAGTAACAGGATGACTAGTGGAAACTAGTTCTAGAGAAAGATTTTGTTCAGAATTCGTGGGAGCGACTAAGTGAGGAGTCCTTGGACTCCACAGTTGAGTTGGAACTCGGTGTTGCAGATAACTGACGAATGATTGGAGACCAGGAAGGTCTTGAGATATTTTAGGAAGCAGCCATATAGCAGTTCAGCGTTTCAGTCAGTTCAATATTTCAGTCAGTTCAGCGTTTTAGGCAGTTTAGTGTTTCGTGCAGTTCAGTGTTTAGGGAAGTTCAGTGTCTCATGCAGTTCAGTGTTTCAGGCAGTTCAATATTTCAGGCAGTTCAGTATTCCAGGCAGTTCAATGTTTCAGATAGTTTCAGTGTTATGGACATTATTAGTATGTGTGTTGGAATGCAAGTGCTAAAGGTATAGTTTGTTGATTTGGAAATGGCAAGTCCCTCTCAGTAGGATCAGTTGAGTCTTCTGCCAAGTATAAGTGATCTGCAAGGATAATTAGTCAGGTAGTCTTCTTTCAGGATGGAAGGCTCGAGTTATTAGAAGTTGAGTAGTCAGATGAGAGATAAGCAGGCTAGTTCCAGCAACATCGATTTAGTATGAGTAGCAGAGTGTGTAGAACAGTTATAGATAGTCGATGTATCTTCAGAAGTCATTGAAAGCATCTACGGGGATTGCGATGGGGTGTAGTAACCGGTAGGAGTCCATTAACCCAGAAGTGGAAACATCAGTAGGGACCAGGGTGGTCTCGGTTCATCTGGAAGGCGGATAAGGGACAGTAGAGATTTTCAGTCAGTGGCAGTAATGGAAAGCAGACTATGGTAGAATTCGACTAGTTGATTGATGGGTGCTCAGTACTAAGTTATAATAGCAAGAAGTGTCCAGTGGATACTAGCGGTAATGACCCGTACTGGGAGAAGTAGTAGTTATGAAGCATTGCCTTGGAAAGGCCGGAAATCGCACCAGGAAAGAAAGGGGTGAACCCCTAGGGTTTTCAGCATAAGTACTCGAGGAGTATCAGAAGGTTTGTCAGTCGAGTAAGTGGTGTTCCTAGAATGTTCAGGGTCAGGGTTGACCCGAGATTATTATCTGCAAGGATTAATGTTAGTCAGAATGGCAAGGCAAAAGGCAAGCAAAGGTGGTCAGCGGATGATAGATCAACCAAGCAGAGTGTTGACGACAATTTGTAGGGCGATTGGCCGTAGAGAAACTTCGAGGACGAAGTTTAGTTTAAGTGGGGGAGAGTTGTAATACCCAAAATCAGAAAGGTCAAGAAAGGGAAATAAAACCTAAGTCAAAGGGTTAACTTGTCGAATCTAGGGAGGAACGCGACGAGTCGGAGCGGGATTCGGGGGATCATTTAAGTAACCGACTCGACGAGTCGGCAAAGGGGACTTAGTGAGTCTGGTCTGAACGAGAAAATCCCTAATTCGGGGGTTTTCACCGTATTTATGGATCATTACACCCATTCCCCAGAATCGTGGGTGAGAGCCTTTGGAAGCAAATTGGGGCATTGTTAAGTGTTTTGTGAAGAAATCTTGAAGATCAAGAAGCTTAGACCAAGGAGGTTCGTGGAGATTTGGAATCCTTTTCAGCAGGAGGACGTTTTGGAGGTAATGAATCTTTATCCTTGGCTTTCCCCTTTCTAGATCAATCTTCCATGGAGTTGTAGGGTTTCTTTGAGAGTATGTGATGACAATTTGGTGCACAAGTTAGATTTGGAGTTGAAACTCCAGATCTAAGCTCTATTTGGATCTTAGATGCAGAAAGCCCTGTTAGTTGCTATGCAAAAGCCATTCCCCATGAGTTAAGTTCCTTTCTAGCTTGGTTTTTGGCATTAGGGGACAAGAAGCACGTAAAGGTAGCAACTTTATGTTGCTAATGGACTCTAGAAACCCAGATCTTTGGTTTGGAGCAAAGGAGTAGCTTTGTAACTCAAGATTATGGGAATGCATGTATGGACTCGACGAGTTTGGGAGATGACTCAGCAACTCGAGCTAGATATCAGACTTAGATTCGCGTAGGAACTCGGCGAGTCACATGGGTGGACTCAGCGAGTTGGATGAAGTTAGGCAGCAACTCGACGAGTTGGAAGAACAACTCGACGAGTCCGTTGAAGATTTCCTTGGACTCGACGAGTCTGTTCTTGCACTCGATGATTTAGGTCGCGAAACCCCAAACTCTTCGAGTTAAGACTCAAATCAATGAGTTGAGTGGGGACTTAGTGAGTTGGACAGGTCATGACTCGGAAATTAGTACACTTGGCGAGTCATGGTCTGACTCGGCGAGTCGAGTCGCGAATGAAAGGGGTTTCTGAGCTTATGAACTCGGCGAGTCAGTAGGTTGACTCGGCGAGTAGGGTCAACCTAGAAGGTTGAATTTGACCAGGACTTTGACTTTGTTAAGAGTTGACTTAGTTGACTTTTGGAGGACTGTTAGACTAAGTATCATTTTGATATTGGTTGCTCAGAGAGCTAGAGGAGCAGCAACTCAGAAGGTTGTCGGTTAGCAGCCAGAGGGTTATCAGTGGAGCTCAGTAGTTCAGGTGAGTTTCCTTCCAGTAGGAACGGGTCTAAGGCCACAATGCCGACCCGTTTAGCTAGTAGTAGTTTCCGGACTTCGGTCTGATGCAGTATTTAGTATGTTTGATGCCTTCGTGGCTATTACAGGATTTATGTGTTATGTGTTCCGGGCTACGACCTGATGCAGTATGCAGTATATGTGTGTCCATGCTAGTTGATATGTTTATGTTATGCTATGTTCAGTTAGTTCCGGACTCCGGTCTGATGTAGTTAGTCCGGACTTCGCTCCGATGCAGGGGACAAGGTCCCAGTCAGTTTCTGCACTTCGGTCCGATGCAGGGGACAAACTCTCAGTCAGTTTCTGGACTTCGGTCTAATGCAGGCGGCAAGGCCCCAGTTAGTCCGGACCTCAGTCTGATGCACGTGGCAAGGCCCAGTATTTGCTTTATATGTTATTGTATGGTATGTGGTAGTTTGGGGGAGCTTACTAAGCTTCGTGCTTACGGTTTCAGTTTTTGGTTTCAGCTACTCAGTTTTCAAAAGAGGAGCTCGGAGAGGTTGCAGTGCACACATCATAGTCAGTTAGCCTGAGAATGTTACTCTGATAATAAGATTATGTTTTGGATTAATACTCAGAAATTATGTTATGACTTATGACGGTGTTTTCATAAATATGGTTTTAGTAATGTTTTAAAAGAAATTTTTAGTCGTGATTTTTGGATCGTTACATATTTTATATATATATATATATATATATATATATATATATATATATATAATATATATATATATATTTGGGTGTATTTGCATTGCACTTAATAAAACATATATATTAATTAATTTGCCAATAAATGCATTTTAATGGGTTCATATTGGACCAATGTGTGGAAGTCAAACATTATATATGCCTACCCCACAGAATAATATCTGCGCAAATAAATTGGTTACATGAGTGATTGAGTTGAGTATGCTTTAAGCAATACTTGCTCTCATTTCCTTTTGCTTGCTTTGGTTTTTCTTTCTTTTTCCGTATAAAAAGACAATGACACTAATATACTTTTAATATATTAACAATTTGTTGAAAATATGTAAATTTTTTTTTTTTTTTAAGTAATACATTGTGCCACCGTCTAAAATAAAAATAAATAAATAAATAAATAAAATTTAATGGACCATTAGGATCTGATTTTGATATACATATAAATATGACAGATACTTTTTCCGACCTATTTTCATTTTCTGGAAATAAGCACATTCATTTTCATGTATTCTTTCTTCAACATCACTCCACTTAATCTGTGTACCCACTACCCACACATGCTTTTCTTGTTTTTTCTCACAACCAGAATGAATGCACTGAAAACTCAATTTCACCAAACACACGCACACATCACACATTGCGGTTTGTTCATGTGACTCCATTATCCATTATCCACTCTTCACATTGTTTTCGTATTCCTTTCGTCATCAATCCCTTCTTTTGGTTTTCTATATATCAATGTAATAACGATAAAGCTACGACATAGCCACCAAATATCGCAATCAATTTATATATAATTAAGTTTATCTTGCTTGCTATTTCACAAGGTTCTAAATAAGGACACATGTGACATGTCCACGTCAAAATTTTGTAAGTTGCCCTTATAATTTTTATTTATTTGTCCTTGCGTACGTTTTCTTTTTTTAACACGAATTTATATTTAATGGTTTTTATTTCAATATATTACGGTTTGTACTTTTCTCGTCTCTACACAAATTTGTGTTGAACTGACTCCTATTTCAAGTGTTTGATATCATTTCTCAATTCGAAGGGGCCTTTGGCCCCGAGGGTTGGTGAGTAATTGGCTAATTGCTTAACTAAAATATTTTAGAAGCAAGAGAAACAAAAAATAAATTAAATTAAAAAGCAAAAGCTATTATCTTGTTTAGGAAAACGATCTATGAGGGTAATAAAACGTTCGACTTGTATTTATTTGATCTCTTATTTTTTATTTTTTTTTGTCTTTATTATACCATGGAACTTAATATTTCCGCTCACCAAAACCCTTGCGACTGGTTATCACTTGTTTTGCTGGTTTCCTTATTTTAAAACATTTAATTAGAGATTGACATATCGTATTATCGATTATCACCCCTTTCTCCTTACAGTTAAGGTTCATAGGGAAAATGAAGAAAACAGTTTAATCGAAGATTACGGTTACAAAATTGAAGAGAACTGATGAATGCGAGTGTTATAGAGAAGAAGATGGCCTCCGATTCCAAACAACGTAAGTATTTGACAGTTTATATACATTATAATGGTTTATTTGCACCAAAACCATTAGTGTACTTGAACGTTGTTGTTTCAATTTGTGATGTCGATTTTGGTGCAATGGATCTCAAAGAGTTTGTATTGTTCATTGCAAAGTTGAATGAAGGCAGTTACGATAATGTATATTACTGCACTACAAATAAACCATTGGCGGAGTTTATTAGGAGAATTGAGAATGATGCTGACTACTTTGAGTTTATTGAAACGGGTTATAGTGATGAAGTTGGTCTGTGTACTTGATTGGGCTGATATGGAAGTACTAAAGGATGATGAAGGGCATTATTCTAAGCAATACCTGAATGATGACCAAGATTTACAAATTTTTGATGATATTCCATATGAGCATGAAGCAGATGATTACATTCTTTCTCTTGAAAAGACTATGGTGATGAATTCTTACACCAGGTGTCAGGTATTTGTAAGGATATAAATGATGAGGTTGGAACCGATGAGGTTGAAACCAACAATGGGGAGAACAAACTAGTGTACCCTGTCCATAATGAGAACTAGAAATGGCACAAAATGGTGCCAATTCTAGGTATGAGATTCTGTAACCCTATGGAATTGAAAAAATATGTGACTAACTATGTAGTGAAGAATGGATACAACCTTTATTATGAGAAAAAAGATTGTCACAAGTTCTTATTGAGATGTTGTAAAGATAACAAGAACCCCTCTTGTCCATTTAGACTGTAGGCTTCCTAGATTAGTAGTGAAAGGTCTTTTCAGATTAAGTCCTTAGTTGATGACCATAATTGTTCAAGAGTCTTCAAACTTGGTGCCGTTGTAACATATAAATGGATTGGAAAGCATTTTAAGAATTAGCTTTTGAAGAACCCCAAAATAAGCATAAGGAAAATGAAAGCCATAGTAAGTACAAACTTTAACTTTTGTTGTTAGTGTGACTCATTGTAGAAATGCTAAGAGATATGCTTTGGATGAGATAGAGGGTATTGATAGAACATTAGGCTAAAGTATGGAGTTATAGAGAAGAAATAATGAGGAAAAATCCCGGTTCAACAGTTTAGATAGATGTGGATATCATGCCTGATTCCACCACTTACTTTTCTAAAATGTATGTTTATTTTAAGGGTGTGAAGGATGCTTGGATTGCAACATGTATGAGGGTAATAGGGGTAGATGGTTGTTTTTTAAAGGGTACATGTAGAGGCCAATTGTTAGCAGCTATGAGTAGGGATGCAAACTACCACATCTTCCTTATTGCATGGGTTGTGGTGGTAGTTGAAAATAAAGAAACATGGAAGGGATTTCTTGACCTCTTATTGGATGACATTGAAATGGGACTTGGTCATTGTTTGACCCTCATATTAACCCATCACAAGGTATATTTTATGTTATGCTTTGCTTGAGTTGAATGTTTTTGTTATGTCATCTATTTCATGTTTTCTTTCAGGGATTAGTAGAGGCTATCAAAGAAAGGGTTCTAATAGCAGAGCATTGACAATGTGCTAGGCATATCTATGCTAACATTAAGTAAAGATTCAAAGGTGAACAATACAGGAAGTTGTTTTCGGCTACTGCCGCTAGTACTAAGCAACCTAAATTTGAGGCAGAAATGAATTCTATAAGAAAAATTGACCATTTGGCTTTTGAACACCTCATGGAAAGAGAACCTAAAAGTTGGTGTATGGCATTCTTTGAAGTTGACAGGGCTTGTGTTACTTATGAGAATAGCATATCAGAAAGTTTCAACTCTGTTATTGATCTTGCTAAGAAGAGACCACTCCTCACAATGTTGGAAGACATTCGAATTTATGCAATGGAGAGGATGTATAAAATGTTGCTAGAGGGACAAAGTTGGGGTATTTTAAAAATATGCCCATCTATAAGATTAAAGATATCAAAGTTAAAGAAATAGCAAAAGTATGATATAACTTCTATTTTATAAGTATTATTATCTCATCTATAAGATTAATAGAACTTGTAATTTTTGTGGATATATTTTGGGGAGTTATAGCTTTTGGGATACAAAAATATGAGGTTAGGATTGGAAATGATGGATATGTTGTGGACCTTACTAGCAACACATGTGGATGTAGATCTTGGCAAGTACCAGGTATCCCATGTGTGCATGTAGTGGCAACAATTTCATGCCTCAACAGGAATGCAGAGGATTATGTTGCAGCATGGTTCCATACATCTATCTTCTTGACTTGTTACAATCATACCATTAATCCACTTAATGGTAGTTCCATGTGGCCTGAAGTGTCTTACATGAAGCCATTTCCTCCACAAAAAAGAAGGTTACCAGGAAGACAACCCTTAAAAGGGAAAGGGATCAATCTGCAAGGGAAAGCAAGAGGAAAAGAAGGCATACTATCTCAAAAGTAGGAGCATTTATGAGATGCACCATTTATACAGAAAGGGGCCACAACATCCTACAAGACCAGAATATGTAGCATCCACTCCATGTCAAAAAGAAGAAAGCCAAAAAATGTAAAAAGAGGGAGAGAGAGAGAGAGAAAGGTATGCTATTAAAATAATGTAATTATACTGCAACATCCAATTCATTAAGTACAACTTTATATAGCAGGTAATGTGGAACCGATTCAAGTAGATCCAATTCAAGTTGATAATCCTACACAAACATGTTGATGATGTTCAAGTGGAAACAGTTCAAGTATATCCAATTCAAGTTGATTATCCAACACAACCTATTGATGATGCTCAAGTAGATGATTATGTTAATGATGTCCCTGCTCAACCTGTTGCAAATCGGAAAAGGATACAAAAATACTCAGAAAGAATTACCAAGATAGGGTTGAGGAGGAAGGTTTTGAAGAAAGAATGGAGCACTGATCACCACCCAATGGTGTTGGAATGATTTAATGTTTTCATATTTTTGGGAAGACAAACTTTTAGTCTTTATATTATGTAATCGGGAAAACTTTTAGGTATGGATCATCTTTTAACATATTAGGACAAATGTGGGCACAAATTTTGTAATGGTGCAAATGCTAATGGAATCTTACAAGTTTGTCTTTAATATATATTATATGGTTTGGTTGTGGTTAAGAAATGTTTTCTATCTTCTGACATATTAGGACAAATGTTGTTATGGCTAATCTGGACAATTTTACACTTGTATCACATTAAGACCATTTTACCCTTGGATCACATTAAGACATTAACATTAACAAATGTTTGATGTTGTAGCACCTGGTTTCCGGTATGTGAATTTTATTTGAGCATTGCCCTAATTTAACCTTGGACTCGGCGAGTCATAGGGTCCGACTCGCCGAGTAGGGACGAGACTCAGGACACGTTTTAAGTAGGCGACTCGGCGAGTCCACATCCTGGACTCGGCGAGTCACCGCTGCTGGATGAAACCCTAAGTTTCAAGGGTTTGCACCCTATTTAAACTCTCATTCCGCCCCAACTCGTCCCCATTCACCCCCCAGAACTCCCCCTACATCGTTTTCCCTTGTTTCCTTGAGAGTTTGAGGTGTTCTTGGTGTGTTCTTGAAGGTTTTGAGGAGTAAGAGGAGTAGATCAAGAAGAGGAGAAGGAGATCAGCCATCTTTGTGTCATTTCAACATTTCCTTTGAGGTATAACCCGTTTTCCCCTTGATTCTATGCTTAAAACTTCATTTGGGTCCTTCTTGGTCAATTCCCCAAGTTTGTATGTGCATTATATGTTGTAATAAGGCGTTTGGCCTTTGGATCTATGCAAGATTGAGCTCCAGGAGCTCAGATCTGTTAGCTTTTTGGCCCCATGAGGCTTGTTAGCCCTAGATCTACCCTTTTGAGACATTTTGAGCCCTATAATCCATATTGGTGAATATCCACACGTAAAGTTGGAAACTTTACGTGTGATTCGTGTCCTAGAAGTCCAGATCTATGAATGGCATGGACTGGAATCGAGCAAATCGGTATATTTAAGGAGTGCATGGCGACGACTCGGCGAGTCGCATAGGTGACTCGGCGAGTCTGGTCGCGAGTCACCGATTTGGTCCCTTCATCATGTGTCGAGTTGAGCCATGAGTCACAGGGGGTGACTCGGTGAATTAGGAGCTGAACTCACCCATGTTAGGACTCGGCGAGTCAATGCCCTGACTCGGCGAGTCCAAGGCAATCTTCATAGATCAAGAACAGACTCGGCGAGTTGTTCATACAACTCGGCGAGTCTTAGCATAAAGTGTTCATCGGATGAAGATGAACTCGACGAGTTGTTCATACAACTCGGCGAGTAGGATGAAGGAGTTGAATGACAGTTAGAAGGTGAACTCGTCGAGTCATAGCCCGACTCGACGAGTAGAACCAGGGACCCAGGACATTGGTTTGCTAGGGACTCGGCGAGTGGTGATCCACTCGGCGAGTCGGGTCAACTGAAAGTTGACTCTAGCTTTGGCTTAGAGCTAGACCGGGGGCAAAATGGTCATTTTACCTGAAGGTCAGTTAGCAGTGTTTGATTGAGTATGACGTGGGAATTGCAGCCGGAGGACTCCCGGAGCAGCAGCAGTCAGTTAGTTCCCGATCAGTTCAGCAGCTACTTTGAGGTGAGTTACCTTCCAGTAGCAGTGGGTCTAAGGCCACAATGCCGACCCACCAGTAGGAGATGTATGATAGATGATTGTCTTTGTGATATCATCTAAGTTTGCTATTACCTGACATGTTATATGCTAGCATGATATGTTGTATGTGATAGTAGTAGAGTTTGGTTGTTAGGACCGAAGGGTAGTCAGACACCCCAGATACGTCTGACAGTATGTGATGATATGTATGCATGCTGGCTTGTTATGTTATATGTGATCGTAGTAGTAGGGGGTGAAATAGTCCCCAAGGATCGGTTGTTAGGACCGATGGGTAGTCAGCACCCCAGAATGGCTTGACATGGGTAGTCAGCACCCCAGAATGGCTTGACACGGGTAAGACGGCACCCCAGAATGGCCGTATGGGTAGGTCGGCACCCCAGAATGGCCGTACCGGGTAGTCAGGCACCCCAGAATAGCCTGGCAGTACGTATGTTATGTGTTTGTATGGTATGCGGTGCGTTGGGGGAACTCACTAAGCTTTGTGCTTACGTTTACAGTTTTGTTTTCAGGTACCTCTGCATCGAAGGGGAAGAAGCCGGCGCGGTAGCGGCACATCATACACACACTCTTCGGTTTCCGCATTTATGAGATTTACTGGGATTGTACTCTGATATTTTGATGGGATGTATGGTTTGACATTTTAGAACATGGCTGCGATGTGTTATGGTGTGAACAAACAATGTTTTTATTTATTAATGTTTTCTAAAGTAATACCTTAAAAATGAAATTTTCGGACGTAAAAATTGGGTCGTTACAGATGTTCTTGTTGTGGTTAATCTAGACAATTTTACACTTGGATCACAGTAAGACAATTTTACCCTTAGATCACATTAAGACATTAACATTAAGAATTGTTAGATGTTGTTGTTGTGGTTAATCTGGACAATTTTACCCTTGGATCACATTAAGACCATTTTATGCATGGATCACACTAAGACATTAACATTAAGAAATGTTTGATGTTGTTGTTGTGGTTAATCTGGACATTTTTACCCTTGGATCACATTAAGACCATTTTACCCTTGGATAACATTAAGACATTAACATTAAGAAACGTTTTATGTTGTTGTTGTGCTTAATCTGGACAATTTTACCCTTAGATCACATTAAGACCATTTTACCCTTTGATCACATTAACACCATTAACAATTGATTGTTGCTTTGCTTAGTCCTGACCATTTTACCACTACATCATGTCAAATTTATTAACATGTTAAACACATTAATATTTCTTTGAAACAAGTCAAAACATCAAACTATCATTAATCAGAAAAATTATCTTAATACATCAAACAAAATACAACATTAATGGTTAAATTTAGTCTTCGAATACAACTTCACTAACTACTTATTAAACACAAACAACAGAAACAACACAACCATCCGAACTTTATGAGTGAATAGCTTCCATTTGAATTTTTCAAACTCTTGTCTAACAACTAATTTTTCTTTTTCCATATTCATCTTACATATGCTGATTTCGTTTTCAAACGTACAAACTTTGATGGTTAAATTGCACAGTTCTTTTTAGTCCTTCCAAGAATTGATTTCATTTTCTGGGGTTTCAGGACCTAACCATTCCCAACACTTGCGGTTTGGTCCTTCATTCTTGAAAAAGTAACAATTTGGTTAAAGAAAGAAGATTAAACCAAAATGTAAAAACATTTGATTTACCATGGAGTTAGGGCACAATCTGAATTTTTTCCTTTATTGTCTTTAGTTCTTGAAGTTCGTACGCGAGATGGTAACCCACAATAACAAGGATTTTCAGGTTGAAATTCAACATTTCGTTTGGAGGAGATAGAAGAAGAAGAAGAAGAAGCATCCATGTTGATCTGGGGCACAATTGATGAGAATGATGCATTATAAAGGTTAATATTGTATGACTTACATTTAATAAGCCAAGTGTATGCCACATAATGCCACGTAATATCCACATAAGCAATAACCTACAACAACGGGTCGCAAGGATTTTGGTGAGCAGGAATATTTAGTTTAATGTTATAATAAAGACAAAAAAATAATAAGGGACCAAATGAATACAAGTCGAACACTTTATTACCCTCATAAGTGTTTTTCACATATTGTTTTGCAAAGAAGATATTAATATATTGTCAATGTTAAGACACTTATTTCCCTCGCATCTTATTTATGAATACAGGGCGAAACCAAACAAATAAATAAATTAAAATAAAAATTGTTGGGTGTTCATATATATATATATATATATATATATATATATATATATATATATATATATATATATATATATACTAGTCGTCTACCCACGCAAAGCGGTGAACGGCCTTAAGGTGTTTGTATAGTTTTTTCGGTAAACAATACTTTTAGTGAAAGAATCTACAAATATCTTTTATAAGATCTTTATAATATCTTTATAATTAAGGCTACATGAACTAGTTTATATTTATGAATAATTATTTTCGATGGTTAGTTTCCCATTCCGTACACTTCGAATAGTTTTCTTTTGGGGATTATTTCATCTCTTGACATATGGAATATTAAAATAAAGGGAATGCATCGACAAATATATGTCTAAACAGTTATTCAGATCGAAACAATTCTTATTCTTAGTATATGATCAATGAAACAACTAGCAAATATTTTCTTTTTGTGTTTGTTAAATAAGAAACAATGAAGATCTTCCTTTCAAGTTCTATCAATTTTGGATTTAAGCCAAAAGGACTAAACCATATGAAAATGCAACTAATGATATAATTGCAATAGTTAGAGGACAAAAGATAAACACAATTCATAATTTACAAAATCGTAATTATT